CTCAAAGCTGCAGAAATCAGAAGAAATTAATTCAGAGCTTTTCTTGTAAATTCTATAACTTTGCAAAGAAAGGTCATGTAGAGCTGGGAGATGTCTCATTTTTATGAGAATTTCACGGGCTACAATCATATCTCATTAACAAAGGTTTTGGTTATTCTATTAGAGTTTCTGAAAAACTGGTTTTCCAGAAAACCGGGTCTTAAAGAGTCATCAGCCGATATCCTTTTAGGCTTTTTATCTACTCGAGACCCCCTATCGGATGCTGCATGAACGAACGAAATCGGACCGGGGCACCTGGGAATGTTCCCTCATCAGATAGAACTGCTAGATGGAGTCAAAAAGATATTCGGAATATTATACATATATTTTGATGTATATACGGACAGACAATGACAAAAAAAAAACGGCGAAATGAAAAAATATTTGGCATCGACGATAGAAACAAAAAATGTTATCCCTCACTAATGTGTAACAAGGCCGGTAAAACTGTTTTTACTGAGAAGTAGTTATAGTCGTCGATAAATGATACCAGTTGAATCAAAAACGTATTTTCAGAGGAATCAGTTAAACAAAGTTTTTCCTAACACTGTATAAAAAAACTGGTTAACAGAAGTTTCTAGGAGTCAACAATAAATCATCATTTTCATTTTATTCTCTGGCGTATCTACTTATTAGATTAGTCTTATACAAAAGCATTCTAAACCTTACCGTGTGATGATGTTGATGAAACTTTTTCTACCGTTGTATAAAACAGATGTAAAACCGTTTTTTGTAATGCTGTTTTATTTAATAAATCAGTAATATAATTAATGAACGATGGTGACTGTGTATCCATACAAATAAATGACAGATCATGACATATTCTAGCTAATAGATTTAATGTTCGTATATGAACTTTTCGATTTCCTTGCATATCGTGTATATTTAGTTTTTGTTCAAAACTTGTTGGATAATAACTTCTCAAATACGTTAATAAAATATTAATTAATGTATGTAAATAAGATTGCATTATTTGTTGTTGTTTTTCAATTGGTGAATAGAAATTTTTACCTTCTACTGATCGTCTATGTCTTATGTACAGTTCGTACATTCGACTATTATGAATATTTATTGTCGATGTTTGAATATGATTTGAATAGGATAATGTTTGTATTAATTGTTTGGGTATTAGATCTATTAAACTTTCAATTAATGTCAATGAAAAAATGACACGGTTATAATCGTACGGTTGAGTATAAAGCAATAGATAAGCTAAATGAGCATCAATCTTTTTACTTTGAGCAGTTGATGCATTCGCCGAAGAACTTGATGTATTATCTCGTGATTGTTTTATTACACTATTTTGATTAAGATTAACTGCTGTGGAAGCGGTTGTAGATGTCAAAGAATTAGATTCACTGAACGGTGTAATAGGAGCCGTATCGATATCATCGACAGATGTTGACAAATTTTGAGGCGATGGACCAGCTGAATGGGGACGACGAGAATACGATGATAAATTACCCAATTCTCGAACAGATTTTAGATCGACCGATAATAAATAGGATAAATCGGGTTTTGTGGATGAAGATGCATCAGGACCATCGACTAAATCTAAAAAAGAAGAACAATTAGTAGTCGACGATTAAATGTTGTTTTCTGCGTTTCTTTTCTGTGATACTTACCTTCATGTAACGAACTAAACATTCTACTGTTAGCACTGTTCTTTGAGTTGGTATTATCATTATCAATTGCATTCATATTTCTGCTATGTAAATTTGATGGTAGAGTAGGTGCTCTTCTTTTTATAACTTTTGATTGATCATTATTCACGAGAGATGCTAAATTGTCAGTTAGTGCTGGTTGAGATAAACTTAAGGTTGTAGGTTTTGTTAGTGTTGGTGTCTGAAGTTTTATATTTTGTGATTGTTGTTTAACATGATAAACAACTTCACCAGATTCACAACTTATAGCACCAATTTTTGCTTCTGGATCTTCGTCTGTTGTTTCATCATCTCCTTCATGATGTTGTAATTCGTCGTCTATTTGTACTCCATCTTCATCATCATACGTGCCTTCTCCCTCTACATTGTCATCAGATGTGTTCGACGACATATTAAATGTCATTTCATTTATGTCACCATCGTCGTCATCATCATCGGGATCAGTCATCTTTCTAAAATTCGAGTTCATTTCTACTTGATCAGAAGAAATTAATGATGTTTTTCTCTGGAAAAATTCACGATGATTTATTGGATTCAATTTTTGTATCGATATTCTAGCAGTATCAGGATGTAATAACATAATTAATAAAATATCAAATATTCTATTAATATCACCTTAAAATAAGAAGAGAAAAAAATCAGATTAATATAAGAGTATTTAGATAAAAGAGAACTGATTTTGTCAAAATCAAATTATTTTTAAAAAATTTTCAATAATACAGTCAAAATAATGAAAATAGTGTACCTTGAATGAAACAGTCACATGTCCACTGCTGTACCATTGATTTAAGACAATGATTATTTGACTCATTCAGTACACTTAAAACGATTAATAGACACCGTTCAAATGTTTTTGTTAAACGTAATGTAGATGGTGACGATAGATCACGTGTTGAATTCCATAATTTAAAAAAACGTTTGTATGATTCTATTATTTGTAATTCATTATCGTATTGTTGAATATGTGTAGTTGATAATTGATTACATATCATATCTTCACAATCGCACGACGGTAACATTGAATGTAACATTGATAATAGACGAGATGATTTTACATTACACTGTTGTTGATATTGATCACTTAAATGTTCCCATAAATACGATGTTATATGTTGAAAATAAAGGGTATCAATTGTTAATAAATTCACTTGTTCTTGAGTAAACACTGGAGTAATCGATACCTGTTCACTCAGACTTTTTGTACGTAATGTACCAGAATTTGTCACTATTTTTCGTATAGGCGGAAAATTATTCAAATCCAAAGAAATATCTGATAACTTTCGTTGATTACTCAATGTTGATTTTTTTAATTTATTTGATGATTCATATAAACGCAATGAATAACCGACTAATTCGATGAGAACAGAGATAGATATTGCTTGAATAGAAAAGTAATCACTTGGACATATCGACAAAACACATAAATCCATACACCAATCATCGAATTCAATCAAATCTAAACAAAATAGAAAAAAATCTTTTGTAAATTGGCTTTTCTACTCTTAGTTAAGCAGAATACTTCAGATAATGGAAAGATATAAAGAGAATTCTATCACTTTTCTAATTCATTGATAAAATACCGACATAGTCCGTTTTTCATTTAAATTCACTATGACAGCATCTAAGGATTCTTCTTTATTTATAAAACAAATTGTCTTTTTTGATCTTGTATTAAACTTCAAATAAAAATACTATAATTAACTATACCTGTTGCAGATGTTTGTTTGGCAGACATATTTGTATCATTTGAAAATTGTCTTGGAAAACAACATAAATCTATGAGTAATTTACAACAATCGTCAAAAGTTTTTCTATATGATTCAACATTATCGTCCAATTTTATCAAGAACTCATTTTGTTGTCGATAGTGTTGATTAAATAGTGTACGTATATTATCGTTTGTTTTTCTTTGTGTTAGAGAATAAATTTTTTTAAATTTTTCACTAATTTTTTGATTCTCATTTGAAATAATAAATGTTGTTATAAAACGATGAAAAAATGTTTTATACAAGTTTAATGATTTTTCAATATGACTAATGGATTGTAAGACATTTTTAGTAATTACTGTTCCTGCTCTCGTTAATGTACGCCGTTTTGGTGTTGGATTAGGTACTGGCTCTTTGGGAACATAAATTTGTTTTTCAACAGTACGAACCATATGTCTTAATAAACGTTCAACATCAGCTGAGCATTGATCCATAGTTAAAGAAAAAGGTTGTTGTAATTGTCCAATACTATCGGTTTTAACAAGTTTATTATAAACATCTGTTGAATAATTATTTTCATTGATAAATTTATTTGTAACATTTTCACCATCATCATCATTATCATCATCATCATCAGATGAATTTGTACTTTTATCATCTCCTACAACAATATCATTATTATCATCATTAGTTATTGTATGAATTGGTAAATATTCTTCACTAGCTGAACGACGAAATATAGCCATATGATGAGTCTCTGATGGAACAACCTAAAATTTTATACAATTATAAATAAAGTTAAAATAAATGAAAAAATAATTAGTTATTACCTTTTTTAAAATTTTTAATAATACTTGAATACATAATGTAATTTGTTCAGCAGAAAATTTTACAATGTGCGTATTCATTATTTTAATAATACGATATAACATTTCTGGTAGATGATCAATTTGAATATCCGGTGAAGAGTCCTGGAAAAGAAATGCAATATATCAGTCTTACATTAGATAAAAGAGAAAATCATATTGAAAAGTACTTAAATATTTTACTCACGATCCCCAAGTAGAAAACTTTTGTTCTTTCACCTCAACGCACAGAAGACTTTTCTGCTGATGAAAGTTTCTCGCATTTGGTCAATAGTAGTACACTAGGGGTGATACAGTTCCAGTTCCTATAATTCTTAAGAACTGGTCACCAGTTCAGTTCCTGTTGAACGGGAACTGGTTATCAGTTCTTTTCAAGAATTCAAAATAAAATAAAACCGATGTAACTAGTTATACTGACTTCGTTTAGTCAACTAAACACACCATCTATCTCTGGCACACTACACAAAATCAATGTAAGTAGATTCACCGGTTTTATTTCGATTTTAATTTTTTGAAAAGAACTGGTACTAGTTTACGTTCTTTTTAACGCGAACTGTTGCCAGTTCCCGTTCAAAAGAACTGAACTGGAACTGTCCCACCCCTACAGTACACTGCCATTGCAGAACAAAATGTTTCTATACCTAGCCGTTTTCAGTTTCGTACAGTAGATTCGCGTATACCGAAAAAGTCGGTAAAATACAGTTTATTTGTAATAAAAAGGAAACCGGTCGATTGTTTCAAGCTAAAATTCAGCAGTATTAGTGAACTAAATTTGTGATTAAAATGCTGAAAATTATTTTTTAGTACAAATGTCCAACTATATTAATACAACGACTACAAAAATGAGTTAGATATGAATTGCGTAAACTACGAAAAAATAGCAACAGGTTATATTTAGAAAAAACTTACCAATGAAGCAATATCAAGCAACATCTGAATAACTCCACATAATGATTCAACTGTGGCACTACCTATTGTATTTATCGTCGATATTAATGGCGGTGATTGTTCATGATCAGTTTGAGTGAGAATAAGATCAAAATTTTTCGTTAAAAATTCCCAAATAAAATAGGGTTCAAACGTATCCAATAACATATTTAGTGTTTTTAATGTTTCGGATCGTTGATTTTCTTGTTGAATATTTATGGTTGGAACAAATTTTATTTTCAAATATATTTGATTATAGACACTTAGTAAATAATTCATTAATACATATTCGAGTATATTTGGACCAACATCTGGTTTATCAACTAATATGGTCAGTACACGTAATAATTTTGTTAATGTCCACGAACTTGACATTGATTCAATTGGAACCAATGTTGTAGTATCAGACGTTGATGGTGTTGTATTTATTGATTCAAGAGCATTTAGTAATGCATGAATTAGATTGTCATGTGTATATTGTGCAAAATAAGTCACTTCGGGTGATGTAGATGTGTCGGCTGTTTGTAGTGTAGTTGATGAAACAGTAGAATCTTGTGCTTGTGTTGCTAATTGTTCAGAGCCAAGAAACCATGAATAAATTCGACGATTCAAGGACATATCACGTTTTAATAAAATATTTAATGATACAGTAATCATTTTCATTAAGTCAATTTTTGTCAATTGTTTATTATTCATTGGTAAACATATTAGAAGGAAATCTAATATTGATCGTTGTACTAAAGGTTGTTGGGCATCTTGTAAACAAATGCATACAGCCGATACCTGAATGAAAATCGTTGATGATCAGTTAGAAAAACAAATTTCGCCGAATATGTATATATATCCACATATGTTAATAGTTTTTACTATCGTTTTCAAAATATAATGCTCCTGACTAGTTTTTGAATAATGAAAGGCGATAAAAACTTGCGGTCTGCATCATTCAATAGCCAGGGCTTTAAATCAGTTTTTCATAACCAAAAGAATTCCTCAAAAACCGTTTTCTAGTAGATCTTTGGAAAATCGTTTCATAACTGGAAAAGTTAAGGTAAGAGCCTAAAGTGTTTTCGTAAACAGATGGTCCAAAGTATCCTGTTCTTGGAGTGACCTTGAAAGCGCAAGCGACATACATAATAGACCACCACTGAATCTCGTGGTAATGTTTATTTACGAAGAAAAAATCAAAAACCTAATGAAAACCGTGTTTTACGAAAATTGGGATTCTCAAGCTGTTTCCATCTAAGTTAAAAAATTATGTCTCTTGCGCTTTTTACTTCAAGGACTTTGGTTGATCCATCTGCTCATGAAAAACTATATACTCTTACCTTAACTTTTCCAATTACGAAGCGATTTTCCAAAGATCCACTAAAAGACCGATTTTTTAGGAAGTTTTTCAACTTCTTTTGGTTATGAAATGTTGATTTAAACTCCTGTCTGTCGAATGGTGCACACCACAAGTTTTTATCATTTTTCATTATTCAAAAACTAGTTAGAAGCATTATATTTCGAAAACAATAATAGAAATCATTTTCCTGATGAAATAGCACAATAATAACAGGGGTTGATAGATCGGTGATGTATATATTTAAAAATCAGCCAGAAGATACCAGTTGTTTTGACAGCCGTTTCATAATTTGAAAAACCTTCCAAAACCAGTTAATAAGTCAAGCTGTTATTCTAGTGAAGCTTTTTTTTGAATTAGCCAAAATCTATTGCATGCACAGATTTCTGAGCTTGTATTTCGTAAAAATTTACCAGATGCTCCCTGTTGTTGAAAGTATCACGTTCTAGGTCACTAGCTTCTGAATCAGACTAAATGAAACATCAAAATACTTTCCATCGCGATGAAATGTTGTAGCAGTTTATACCTTTCGTTTAGGAAAAGATAAAACTTGAATGACTTAACAAATTCATTGAACCTTTTCATTCATTGTTAGAAAAGCTGCTTTATTTTATCTCCAAATAAAAGTAGATTCATCAGTTAAGTTCTTTCAAACTCATTATTCGCTGTACAATGTCAATGTCACATATATATTGCTTTATTACTTCATATTTATAGCTTACATTATTACACAAATTATTAAGAGATATAATTTTCATGTTAATATTTTTCAATTTGCCACTGATGAACAGATAGTTTATACCTCGAAACGTTTAGTTGATAAATATGAAGTGAAAATAATAAAACAATATATATATACGAGTTAAGTTTTACTGTAGTTTCTTTTCAAAAAAGAAATAAAAATATAGCTTAAATCTCTCTCATTTACTAAGAGAATATAGAGCTATACTTACTAATGTTTCAACAGATAACCCCATTAGACATAATTGATCTTCCATACTTTTTCGTTTATCAAAATGACTCAGCATGTAGGTTATCGCCGGATAACGTGCTGATGGTAATAAATGTATTGCTGACCATATGCAGGCATAAAAATAAAATTTATCCATTTTTGATAAAATATTATCTAATAATTGATTTGTTCTGTCAAAATGATCTGATCCTTCTTCTAATGCTGGAAATAATGCCAGAAACAGACCCGTTAAAACAGGAGTTAAACCTTCACCTAATGGTAAAAAGTACGTTTCATATAATGATAAAAGTACAGGTTTAACAGGTAAGGCAGCTGACGGCAACAATGGAAATAACCCAAATGAGTAAAGTATAATATCACGCTGCAAATTTCGGGTTCCAATCATTTGAAATATCGAAGAATAAACTTCTAAAGCTTTTAAATGAACACCAGATGGTAATGCTGGATGAAGACATTGTGCTAAACGTTTTGACAATGTTATTCTCTTTGGTATGGATTGAAATTTTGGATAATTTTCGATTGTCTAGAGCAAAAAGTAAAATAAATTTTGAGGAAAAGAAAAAAGATAAAGCAGAAGGTAATTGAAGGAAAGATTTATACCTTTTTAACTTTGACTAAATTTGTTATTAAATCAGCCCATTCTGTTGAATATTCAAATTGTTTCAATACTTTTTCTAATGTTGCAATAAAATTTTTATAACGTGCATCATTCAACAAGGCAACTTCATCACTTGGCATTAAGCTCATGGTTTCCTGTTTTTTTAGCACCTCAATTATGTCAAAATCACATCTGAAATATATAAAGTATTATACAAAAATTAGAAAAACAATTATTAATCATGATCACTTTACACATTCGACATGAATCGCAATAGAAAAATAGAATTTATTGAGATCAGTCGTATCACAAGAAAACACATGACTAGAAGACAAAAAAAACAAAAAGAAACAAGATAATAATCAATAAATCTATTATATTTTTGTTTATATGTTTGAATAATCATTGATAAAATAGGGTGTTTTTTTATATAAATCGAATGTTAAGGCAGAAGATCCAGATAACGGTACAGTTAATCGTAGCAAATCGACCTGACCATTTGCCATTCCAGAACAATGTTGATTACTACACATGACTAAACCTTCATCTAAACTTATCTGGTACAAACGAACAGGAAACAATGTATTATTAGTCTGCAAACAAAATCGACAAAAATAAGTAGACGACATTCGTATCAAGGTCTAGTCGCACAATGTCTGACAGATAAAACAATAGCGAAGGCTAAAATTAGTCAATTATGTCAAAAGCAACAAAATAATGTAAATTTTTTCGGTTATAATAATTAACGGCATCGTGTGTATATGATTCACGAGAAATATAATGATTGGCCAAAAATATTAGATAATAATATCTTTTTATTAATAACCATCAAATTTTGAAATCGTTTTCACTATTATAGAGAATTTGACGTATTGCTCAAGCCTAATCACGCCATTGCTTTTACATTTTAGATTATTGTGCTACTTGTGTTTGGATTGGTCAGTCATAGACAAATGAGTCAGAGCACAGAATGAGACATGAACAAAGGTATGCTAAGATCATGTCATATGATACATGATTTAGCACATTCTCGCAGAAATACTGATTAGCCTATTTAGTATATATAATAATCAAACTTTTAACAACGCACGACTCAGTATTCCATAAACTGAAAATAGATGAAAGCACCTTGCAGGATCGAAGGTTTAAACCAATGTTTAGTTTGCTTTAGTGTGTCATTTTTCATTGTTGACTTGAGTCAATTCTGGAGACGTATTTAGTTAATACTTAACTCAAGATCATGTGTCGTACAGTTAAGTCGAAACGAAGACTGAAGTCAGCATCTAAGATTTTTGTTAAAACACTACAAATGAGTAATTTTGAATCAATATTAAGTCGATACTTATCACCTCAATTAAGTTTAAGAATTATGTAAGAATGTTGATGAAACGGTTCTCAGAGCATGGCCTACATTTTGATGGAAATGTACTTCATATTCCCTTATCTTTCAGAGTTTACAAAGCAAAAATAAATTTTTTTTATTAATATTATATATTTAACTTAATCGATAGATTTGTTTCAGATAAATCGGTAAACTAAAATATTCGTTTTTACTTGTAATTTGTTGAACTTGTGAATTTAAATAATGGTGATAAGTCAGATTCCACCTCTATGGCAGGACAGTGATCAATGTTTTCGATGCCGTACAACATTTTCGACATTCAATCGAAAGGTAAGTCAAATCGAATAGTCTCTTGTTTAAATTTTAACCTATTGTTTTTTATTTATTTTTCGATAGCATCATTGTAGAGGATGTGGTGAGACTTTCTGTCAACCATGTAAGTCTAAAAAGCATTGAAATTGTATAATTTCAGTTATTCTTTTGTAAACTCACTTTAAAGGTTCTTCGAAGCAAGTTCCAATACCCGAATATGGTATTGAAAAAGATGTACGAGTTTGCTTGGCCTGTTATGATCGAATAACTGGGTAGGTCTGTTAACAACTCTAATTCAATAGATGAAACTTATAATGATATAGAACACTAGTCATTGTTTTCAGTTTGCTCAACTTGTGTATAACTCTTTCTTCTAGAACAGGAAGTGTTAAACCAAGAACATCGTCTGTTGAACAACAGTCAAACACATTTGCATCATCGGCTCCAAAAGTTCCGGTAGTTCAATCTCAATATTGTTTTATATTTGATAATTTTTTTTTCGCATTACTTTTAGCAAAAAACTCAGAGTGAATTAGAGGAAGAAGAAGCATTCCAATTAGCATTAGCCATTTCACAGAGCGAAGCTGAAGATAAAGAGCATCAGAAAAAAATGTTAACTCAACGATACGCTATGTCAAGTATAAATAATGATGTACCATTAACCTCATCATCATCTGTAAACATAAGTACGCCAATAGTTTCTGCGCCACTTGCTGAAGAAGTAAGTTTATTTATTATGGTAACAGTTGATTTAATTTAGTTCATATTTTATATTTAGGATGAGGAAAAAGATCGATTTTCACACGGAGAATTATCGAAATATTTGGAACGATCATATTGGGAACAGAAACATCAGGCTCTATCATCAGGTATCCCTTTGGAGGATGTTTCAACGACAGCGAACGTCAGTCAAATTAAAGCACCACAATTACCTGTATGTATGAAATTTTAAATAATGTCATGAATGGATCTTATTTGTCTTTTAATTATGTAAGGATGCGATGAATAATTATGTTAGTGACAGCGAAATTGATGACTTTGTTAATTTGGTTAATGATAATATCAATAATATTAAATTTCGTATGTTAAGTAATCAAAATCGTGGTAGAAATATTACAAATGACACAGCTGTACAATCGGTGTTTCTTATATTACAAGCGTTTCATCCAGAATTACATAAATATATGAAACTGTTGGAAGATAAACGAAGTAATAATGGAAAAAGTTTAAGAATTAACTTTGAATTTATAGACTTTTTCATAAAAAAGAAAAATAGTGAATTTTGACTCAGGAACAGAGTTTGCTGTTCTTCTTTAGTTGTAAACACAAACATTTGAATGTTTATTGTGTTTCGTTGTTTTAGCTTATTATGAGAGTTTACAAGATAAGTTGGGTCAATTAAAAGATGCCCGTGAAGCGTTAAATGCATTAAGAACTGAACATTATGAACGTAAACAACGTGAACAGTATGAACGTGAAAGACAAAGACAAATAGTTATGGCACAAAAACTGGATGTAATGCGACAGAAGAAACAAGTAATACGTTTAAACTCTAGATGTATCTCGATATATAACAGATATTCGAGTTTTAGGAGTATCTTGAATATCAACGACAATTACATCTTCAACAATTAGCCGAGCAGGAACTTGAAATGCAAAAACGTTTGGAACAACAGCGTCATTATGCTTTAATGCGTGATCAACAACAAAATTCACATTCTATTCCAACATTACTATCTAATCAAGTAAGTTATGATTTTTTTTGTTTGCTCTAGTTTTTTTATTTCATGTCTGTTCATTTAGCAACAAACAAATAAGTATGATATGGCTACAAATCAGCAGCCATATATGTATCAAAATGCAATGCATTCTTCAAATTCAATAATTGATACTCATGTAAAAAAAGACAGAGAAGACTATCAGTCTCAGTTCTACGGCAATTCTCAACCGGTGTACAATGTCCCATCTCTTTCACAAGAACTAAATTCTCGCTATTCTACAACTACAAGTGAGTGATTGGAGAACAGATTTGCTACTCATTAGTGTTGCTCTGAAATTATGATTGTCAGAGCTTCTTTAACTCTTCCTCTTATTCGTGGTTTATAATTCATAACACACATCGTTTGTAAAAGTTAAAAACTTTACAATGTATTCAATTGAGATATGTTATCAAAACTTGACTTACATTTTATAAATAATTTTTACTTTTTTGAGGAGTTGAGCTTAAAATTTTAAAAGTGGCGGCAAATGTTCTTACGTTTGATGACATGAGATATTAAATGCAAAGATTTTTGTTTCTGCAATCAGTCACCTTAGGTCAACACATGAACTACATGAAATTTATTTCTTTTTCAGATAATTATCATGATCCTTCACGATTGGTAGCATCAAATATGCCTGCTCCAACTATACTATCAACACTTCCTTATCAAATGAATAGACAAAATTATCATCAACCTCAGCAAATGTATTCTGAAATTCAGCCAGCGGTAGCCCTAGTAATGCAACCTGAGCCACTATTAATTTCGTTTGACTAATGAACAATGTTTTGCGTTATGTTTGTATCATGCAATCAGTTTTTTTCGTCAAATTTTTGTATATTCTTTAGCTTTTATTTATTGCATCCTTCCAAATAAGTAACAAATCACTTTATAAGGATCTATGCATTAGTCTGGTTTCATTTCAAATAAAGTTTAATTTATTCTCTTTTGTAAATCTCGTATGTATAGCTGTACGTTTTTTATGACCAATAAAAATTTTCTCTCTCAGTTGTTTACATTTAAAATAAGTCTGACTTTGAGATCATGAGGTTGAGCCAGTGAATGACATAGACTCTATCCGAAGAGATAAAGATTTTAAGGGAATCTTTATAATACGTCTCATCAACAAGATATTCTTCTATTTTGCCTCTGAAGCAACAAAGAGATTATTCATGAGTGAAAATGTTTTCAACACTAAATTTTTTTACTCAAAACCATTGAGTCATCGTAGAAAAATTTCCACTTAACGGTTCAAGTTACTTATTTAAGTATATAGTGTAATTATATGGGGCTAAAAATCATTTGAATTGATTAAATTTCGAGTGAAGACTCACTTTGACGATCTTGTCTTCTCCTGAAATACTTATAAATGGATGAGCTTGTGAATGAAAAAATAGTTTATCAAGTATGAAAATAAATTGTTACACATTTATAAGTGACGAGCAAAAATTTAACATAAATCTAAGTAAGTATGTGAAATTACGCACTTTTTGAAGAATTTTAGATTAAAAAGTTAAGCTTACTTCTCTTTTCATTGTTATTGGCCGTTTCAGAATCTAGTGAATTTTGTATCTTTTGAAGTAAGTTCACAACTTTCGCCATCGGATAGTCAGAACTTGATCCATGGTCAAGATACGCTCCGTTTTAGAAATTTTAAAACATATGCAGCTGTAACGTTTCCTTTAACTTTCTTCAATATGATTAAGAATTTATTTAAAAAGTTGTTAAAAAAAACAAATATTCCACCTATTTATACGGTCATTCTCAAGTATAAATCAAGTGCAGGGTGTTACATTTAAAAGATAAAGCACCACTCAACTATAGAGATATATACATAGATATATACATGCATACGTCAAGCTATTTTCTTTTCTTTCTCTATGCATAAAAAAAGTACTGTCAGAAAATTAAATAATTTTCTACTTACAGAAATGAAAGAATGAACACGAAGCATGCAGCGGTATGAAATAATTTTCCTTAGAAAAGATAGTGGCGATTTATGATACCGAGAAGTTTGGCAAATAATTCAGCATTAAAAACAAGTCTTCACAGAGTTGAAAGCTGGACTTGTATACAAAGTGACGTGTCCAGCTTGTTTAGAATTCTATATTGAGGAGACATACATACATTATTGTTCAAGAACTAGTGAACTCCTTTTCTGAGGAAAATTATTTCATACCGCTGCATGCTTCGTGTTCATTCTTTCATTTCTGTAAGTAGAAAATTATTTAATTTTCTGACAGTACTTTTTTTATGCATAAAGAGAGAAAAGAAAATAGCTTGACGTATGCATGTATATATCTATGTATATATCTCTATAGTTGAGTGGTGCTTTATCTTTTAAATGTAACACCCTGTACTTGATTTATACTTGAGAATGACCGTATAAATAGGTGGAATATTTGTTTTTTTTAACAACTTTTTAAATAAATTCTTAATCATATTGAAGAAAGTTATACATTGTTAGTTAAATAACCGTTGATCATTAGAGCTACTTTTCTCAAACTTAATTGCGACGATCGTTCTGTAATTATCTTACGAAAATATGTTTGTAGATTCTGGCTATTAAATCATCTTTGTTGTTGTTTTTATTCAAAAGTTATTTTAAAAAAAGGAAAACTGTAAACAAAAGTTTCATCTGATTTTTTACTGTCCTTCTGTTCCACATCACATTGTTCATGTCATTATTTATCGAATTCTTCGTTTTTGGCCCCTTTAGTTCGTAACATGAATTATGTGGAGTTGTGACCGTTCTCATGCAATCTCATCATTATATTTTCGATATATTTCTTATCTGTCTTTCGTTTTAGATTGATTTGAGATGTCATTTGGTAATAGTCAGCCCGTATTTCCAATCGTTACTCGGACCCCAATACGCCGAAATACGTTTCAACAAAAAATAGCCAATAATCTATCAACTACATATAATGAAAATAGTCTACTAAGATCACCTCAAAATTCTATGTTTAATAAAACTTATTTATTTTCACCCACATCAACTCTCTCACCAACAACAGGAACAAATAATAGTGAAATAAATATTTTGAAACATGATATACGTCGTTTACGTACCAGTCTCGAACGGAAAGATGAACAGATCAATTGGTGGATGGATAAGTCAAAAAATGATAACGTCAAATATGAAGGTGAGTTCAGAAGGTTTCCTTATTATCACACATATCATTAGCGAACTAACTGTGAAGCACTAACAGACAATGTTTTTCTTGTTTGTTTAGGATTAAAAACGAAAATGAATAAAATGGAAGAAAATCACGATAAAACAATCTATTGTATACGCTCAATGTTAGATGGTTTAACGTTTATGAATCATTCGATAAAACATTTACTTCGCTCGATCAATAATGATCATAATCATGATAAAGAAGAAGAGGAAAATAAAGAGAATGATAATATTGATCAAACATTTTTATTGTTATCAACAACACAAGAACAAGATAGCTTGACATTAGACAACAGTGAAGTTGATTTATTGCTGTTAGCACAAACAAATTCAGTTTGTTTAAAGTTAGCTGCAAATATTGATAAGTTAATACGGACAAACCTTTTGCCAATAACATCGTCGACCAATCAGGCTGATATAGATAAAATTCATCAACAACAATCAAATGCGTCTGCAATATTGGAATATTCAAGAACAACAGCCTCAGCATTAGATGTAAGTAAAAAGAAAATAAATGACTACTTTTAAAACTTTTAGGATTATAATATTTTCTATCAAAATTAGATCTACAAAAAGAAGAGAATTAGTTAAGAGTTGAAGAAGCATTTTTGTCGCTCTATACTATTGTAAATTTCTTTTAACTCTGAATTGAAAAAATCTATCATGTAATATATATCTCTAGGAGAATAAAGGATAGGACGAACCTTTACTTTATGTGATATTTTAGAATGATGAATAATAGACGTCTATCTTGTTTAATAAACTACTTACTTTTAGTATTCGAGATGTACTTATCACTGAAGTTAATCGAAAACTTTCGATCATAAAAAAAAGAGTCATGAATATATCTTGTACTAGTTTCATGTGTTTTTTTGTATCTACTGTATTGTAGTTTGATGATGGCGGTCCGGAGTTATTAAATTCTGTCAAAAATGATTTATATCAGCAACAAATCGATAAGCTCAATGATGAAATGAATACTCTACGAATACAGTTAAAAGATAAAGAAAAATATATGTGAGTCCGATTGATTTTTTGGGCAGGAGAGGAGCTAGAATTTTGGCGAAAAACTGTTTTTTTTTATTTATTTTAGTCAGAATCTTGAAGAACAGACAAATAATGCTAATCGAACGTATGAGTCATCATGTTTCAAATATGAACAAGATATTGATAATTTCAAACGACAATTAACAACAAAAGATGAACAAATACTGTCTGTTATATCTAATGTAGGTATTGTAAAGATACATTGAAGAAAACGTTCGATATTTTCAATTTATCTATTTGTAGGAACATGAAGTTCTACGACAATTAATTGATGAAAAGAATGTAGAACATGAAAAATTACACAGTATGTTGTTGTCAAGAATTTTTTAACTTGCAAATGAATTCCCTAGACCACTCGTATCCCGGAAAAGCATGTTAAAGCCTCTTTTAAAATACAGTGCGTCTGATTTAACAATACGTTTTGTCTATATTTCATTTAGTTGAATATAAATCTTTGTTGACTAAATATCAAAGTGAATGTAGTCGAAATATTGATTTAATTGTTACTACCGATGAACTTCATGATAAAATTCGAATTATGGCCAAAGATATTGCTGTGAAAGAGGTCAGATTGATATGAATTTTTGTTGTTTGAATAAATACAGTTCGTTACTTAATCTATTTAGGTTAATGAAGAAAAACTTCGTACTCAAGCAAATCAAATGAAGAAAATGATTACGTTAATGATGCCTCAAATCAAAAAGCAACAGAAAAAAGTAAAGTTCTAAATATTTCCTCTGTTTTTGTGTATTCTATCTATTTGTTATCTTTAGACATTTGGACATAAAATGAAGCGGCAAATTCGAGAGTCTTTCTCATCATTAGTCAGTCATAAAACTTCATCAAATGGATCATCTAGTCAAAGTTAATGACATTTTATATGAATACTAGAGAAATCTTTTTTTTTTGTTAATAAATAAATGAAGTTGTGTTTTAATGCTCTTCAATGTAGTCAGATATTTGTTTGGTTTTGTATCTTTTTGTACAAAACTTTGTTTTTTTTCTACGTTAAATAACAAAGATTTGAAAGTCATTTCCGTTATTAGTGTCAAATAAATAGGAATAGGAAAATTTGATATTATTCCAGTTTATTGTGAAGAATTTCATTTTCTTATCTCAATATAAAACACTTTTTTCAGTGCCAATTTTCAATGTATTTGCGTACTCTCTCCACGATGAAACTATCAATAGTGGAGCCATCTCAATTCTTTATATGCATACGGTGAATTGTATCTGAGTAGGTAATATTTCTTGAAGATTTACTTGGCTTTGGATTTCAGATGGGCAACATGTTGCACTATCTTTTTAAATTCTTATAATTGATAATCGGCTATGTTTCTTCAACAGTGAACAATTCGGTTGTGGATGTGAAACATCTCGCATGTTTTGAAAAAGATTTCCCATTGAATACTCAATTCTTTTGCTCTTTTAAAGTATGAAATATAGCAAAATATTCTGAATAGTTTTTTCCCACTACTATGTAAGATGAAAATCTGTATATAATAATGGTATTTGACCTAAACTACAACTGGTAGTAATCGGTTGACATAGAATGCATTTAGATTGTTGACCATGTTTAATATTTTCGTTTGCAAAATTTTTATAAATTGTTTATCATAATAAATCCTAGTCAACAATAGATTTTGTTTTCAATACCATTGAATCAGCAAAACATGGAGCATTTTTGGCTTTTTATTCGTATGATAGTTTCATAACCAAATCTTCTATAAAGTTTACATAGTGATTTTCATTTTAATGTAGTGTTTGTTGATGATTTTCATTATGTGTAACAATAGGGTGATCATTAACATCACTTGTTTCATGCAATCAATAACAAACTAGTTTATATATCGGCTCACTCTCTACCCTAATGAATGTACCTACATGATTGCTTGTCGAGTACTTGGGAAGTACTTGGCACGTTTCCTCACTTACTAAACATTTGAGCAAGTACTTGGCTTCAAGTACATTCACCAGGGTAGTCTCCTTATACTCAAGAATTATAACAAACTTCACCGTAATTAATAATTAACATTTTACTTGCATAATTTCGTCAAATCTAGGTTAATAAACAAGCACTATACTCTTGCATCAATATGCGTCATATCAATCAACGTTGATCATAAAATTCTTGATAACTTTATATAGAACAGGTTGATGGCTATAGCACAGAAATTAGACACTGAATAAAATCCTGATGATTCTACGCCATCTTTCGGCTGTAACACATAAGCCAAGTTTTTAAAAGGTTAAATATTAAAAAGCATATACTGGAGCTTTCAGATGTGGTACAAGCTTGCTACTGGGAGAACAAATTTTTAATACTTTAAAAACACAAATGGCACTATAGTTGATGGTTTGCCCCGCCATGATGTAGTATAATTATAGTTATGAATATTTTTTCTTTTCAAAGAATTTCAAAATATATATGCATCTAAACTAAGAAATGTTTTGCACGATGCTTAGATAACAAATAATGAAGTAGAACGACGTCACGCTTTCGTAATTCTATTACACTGTAATCTTGAATTAATTTTCAGTTTATAGAAAATCAAGCGAATTTCTATAAATAATTTCCAAGAATCTGGAAATTCGATTTTGATTTTCTATAAACTGGAAATTCGACATCGAATTTCTAGTTTCTTGGGAATTATTTATCGAAATTCGATTGATTTTCTAGAAAGTGGAAATTCGTCCACCAAATACTTATTCATCTTTTTGTTTTGCAACCAGTGTAGGTATAAGAGCGTCATGTAAAGGCACTTATATTACACTTAAATCAGCTTTGACAGTTTCCACTTTAGATCACAATTCTGCCAGCAAAAATTTTGATTTAGGCAGAGACAGGGGTGGCGCGAAGTTTCGTTAGGAAGGTCCCAAAATCGGACACGTTCACCAGAAATGTCTCAAAAGCACGAAGAGGCGGGGTCAACCCCAAAACAACCTGGTCGCGCCGCCGTTCGGAGCAGATCCGCCAAGGAATTTCCAGTTTATAGAACATCAAAAAGGAATTTCTACTTTCTTGGGAATTATTTATGGAAATTTAACGACGATTTTCTGGATTGTTGGAAATTCGATTTTCTATAAACTGGAAAATCCTCGAAGAATTCCTATAGGCACTCTTTGAAATTCACCGATCATTTTCCATAATAATTTCCAATATTACAGTGTAGTCTTCTGGACGATTGAATGATGCATTAGAATTTTCATTGCTTTATTTTACTTTTTAAATATGACATCATGATTGGATCGTAAAATAATTGGAATTTTCAGTAATTTTAATAGATCGTTGAACATCAGAATCATTTCATTGATGGCACAGACGACATTTAATGTTGGTGACCTATAAATGTTCAAAAAGAAATTTCGTTCACAAACTCTCTTTAACACATTCATATTCGTTACCATTTCAACTGTCATCTATCTATTTAGATCCATCGCGTCAATTCATATAACAGTAACCGTAACCCTTGCAAAAGTCTTATGAGTTTCCTTGCGGAATCCGAGACATATCCTACCAGTATCCTACAAGGATTTTTCTTAATTTCTTAGGATTCTAACAAAATCCTACAGAATAATGCACTCAGATACATCCGAAAGTCATAGATTCTCTAAGATTCCATTAGAATCCTCAACAAATTTAAGCGAAATCCTAGTAGAATCCTAGAATCTTAGGAACGTGTTAGGAGGTTATTAGGTGGATCCTAAATGTTAGGATCCTGCAAAATCCTAATAGGAAATAAACAGCAAGTGCGTAGGATTTTGTCTAGGGAATACCCAGTGTCTTGTTGTTCAATTGTTAAAAATTCAACAATTGAATTTTTTTTCATTTTGTTTGCTGTGTTTTATATGATGTGAAATAAAGACATTTCTCCGGTATCGAAAGATTCAAGGTAGGAAGAAAATATTGTTCATCTTTGGTGTAATTCTTGACATTTTCTACAGTTTCTTACTTTTTGATAGCGAGACAATCAATTCAAATCAAGTAGGAAAAAGCATCACTTCGCCACTTCATATGAAATCCAATTCATTTCACAATAAACTTACTTCGCTCCTAGCCAAGTCAATTTGCGACATTGTTATTTCATTGGGTTTTTCAGGTTTTATTATGTCTGACAAATCTATTTATTGCACAGCCATCAGTTTTATTTACTACATAACATGCATGCTAGGTGGACTGGTCTTAATTAATTCCTAGCGCTTAAACTTTACTTGTCTCCATACCACGCTATAGCGGTTTACTTCATGGACATTTCGAAACCACTTCTAGTTCACTTCAAGTGAAAAAGAAGTGAAGCGAAGTTATGTTTTTCTCTCGTGATTCAAATAGTTAAAATTTGAATAAAAAATAAAGATATGTTTCTTTTTTATCTCTTTTTAAAAACAGCGAACAAGCAACGCCATCTCACTAACATTTTCAATATTTGAAACTGCAGGCTCGTTTTATTACTTTATTAAAGTAATCAGACTTTTATAGTATCCTGAAGATGTTTGAAAAAAGTTAAAAGTTTTTTTGAAGTCGAAATACATTTCTAACTTATGTACTCTTGTCCAATAGTTAATTTCCTTTTTTTTCTTAAGGGGGTCCTCCTGCGAGCTTTCATTTCGTCTGTTCACATTCTCTGACGTGATGAGTCATTACTTGTTTGTCGTTGTTAAGGTGACAGAACAGTACTGAGGTATTATTTCAAACAAATGAATTTCAAGCATGATTAATACTCATGTATAAAGCTATATTAACTTAATTTGGCTAAGATCTAATTGTATTCGAGCTTAAATCAAGATGAGCAACATCAGCGATTTTTCAACAGCAAAGTAAGTTTTTCTAGCAAGAAGGGGTTCCCTTTTCCAGCGACGTACCCAGAATTTCAGTAAGAAGTGGGCTAACCCTTTTTTTTGGCCAAAGAGAACAGTAAAAAGATTGTTGTGCAGTATTTTTATTTGCGATTTCAATCAAAATATTTTTTCCACTGTGAATTGAGGAAAACGAAATTTCTAATGGTTCTAAAAAAGTTTCTAGCTCTTGGTCAAGTGCTGGGTACGTCGCTGCCCTTTTCACTCCCTAATCGAATTTCCTGACAATGAAGAACAATGATTCCGAAAATTAATTGCAGTGACTACAGGATGAAAAAAATAACCTAACTTTTTATGAAGAGAATCCTAGTGCATGCACTAAATCCATAGTATCCGAATAACCGATAGAATACTCATTCAGAGTGTAGTTGAAATTTTTACTTTGCGATCTTTGCACAGTCAGCATGTTTAATAGAACCGACACACGCGAAGTCCTTATATTTGGTGCATTTTCTGAGAATGATGAAACCACCTCGTTTTTCTCCTTAAAAATACATGAGATAAATAGTCTAACTTGCGAGTAAGCAACACTAGGAAGAAATGACTTCTACTGACCGACATTCTCACTAAAATTGTTGTGTACTTATCCTGTGTTAATTATTTGCTTTTGATTATATTATCCTCTTTGAAAAAAGGTAAAAAACCAGTGATAAACGGCACAAAAATTGCAAAGAAAAGAAGCTTCACTAGGGTATTAATAGCTCGCAAACAAAAAGCTTCTCTTCTCTATTTTATTATTTAATGGTTCATCAATTTAGCGTTTTCTTCTTGATTTGAGTAATTGTCTTTATAGTTCTGAATCTTTAAAACTCTAAGGTTCGTATATAAATTGATTGATAGATAATTCATACGATCAGAAACATATAGTTTAAACAGGATAGAATTTCTTTCAGACTTTTCGACTGAGAAAAATTTGGACAGCGTGATCTAGTTAATAATCAGAGTAAAATCTCTGCTATTGAGTGTTATAGTACTGTCTTTACTTTTGAATAGTTAAAGCTACTAAAATTTTCTGTTTTGCACTCCTTTATGTTTTGTGTGTTATAGCGCAGGACCACATCGGACTCACACAGCGTTAAATCGTCAATTTCAAGCTGGAAAAAATCATGATCTATCGGCATCATCAGCAGCTTCCAATAGTAATTTAACAGATACAAATCGTATTATCCATGTGTTACAATGGAACATTCTTGCTCAAGGTTAGAATTTTGTCACCTATTATCTTGTTTATTCTATAATGTGTGTATGTCAAAATTTTAGCATTGTCGTATGCAGAAGGCAACTTTATTCGTGTAGAAAGTGACGTTGTTGACTTTGATCAGAGAAAACAGCATATTCTTGATCAGATATTGATTCATAAACCAGATTTATGTAGTTTAGAAGAAATGGATATTTACGAAGCATTTCTCAAACCTGAGTTAGCTAAACATAAGTAAGAATTACTAGTCTACGATGTTTTTTCCACTAGAAAAAAACTGTAAGACTAAATGTGAGTTGCTGTTAAATGTTAAAACGTATGCAGGGATGTTTTTTTCCAGGATAAAACGTTCAAATCTTGCTTCCCTACGGATAGCGAACATATTCCTTCATTATGTTGAACAACATATTCTACTAGGTTTAATCATACCATCGACCGTTGATTGAATACCTCCTTTAGATTTTCTTTTGGGCTCTTGTACAAGTACTTAAAAATCGATAAAATATTTAAACTATTTCATATCTAGAAGAGTTCTGAATTTTGTTGTATAATGGATATACATATTAGGCAAGATTAATTACGTCAGTGACATATACTGTGATCCGATGAATAAAAATTTTCCTCTTTTGAATAGTCTTCAGTATAGTGCAGCTCTTGTAGTGTCTAAGTCAATGAGAGAAGACTTAGATGGATTTCTTCTATAGGATATATTAATTATTGAACTGTGAAAAAAATTATACTAAAAGAGTTTTAGAAAATTTTTTGAATGAAAATATTATTCCACATTATATACTTTTTAGAAATGTGACTATCAAATATAATGATCTAAACGTATTATAGTCTACTGTATATTGCATTTTATCCATTCTTTTTTAACTGCGAGTATGTCTGTGCATGCAACTTGTAATGGATCTAAACAACTCCATTAGTTGTCTACATAAACAGGTTTGAATTAAGGTGTCTTTTGTGTTTAAAGTTAAATAGATTCATTAGTGTAAAAAACATTTATGAATAAATATGCATTTAGAAACTAAATATCACGAAGAGAATCTTGTTTTTTAGTTATACGTGTTATTTTACACCGAAAACAAATTCAAAATGTTTCGAATTTAAAGACACGACGAATTTCAAAGGACCCGTTAGTCTTTACACATCGTTTTTCCATTATACTTTTGAACTGTTGAATTTCATTTCATTTTAGGATGGTATACTATTAATGTACAAAAATGATGTGTTTAAAGAAATTCGATCGAACAACTTCGAATTACCTGATGATGGAAGATATGCGAAACAGGTACGTATGAGATCATTGCAAAGTGTTTCTCACCATGCACGTATGTTTTAGATGGTCTCTTGTCTTGAGTTAAAACACATTCCATCTCAAACAGAAATTGTCTTCATTGGCACACATCTTAAAGCCAAAAAGCAATTTGCCGATAGTCGTACTCAACAAGCACAAGCCATTGTTGAATTTATAAAAAACCACTATTCAAAAACTTCGCATATACTATTAGCCGGTGATTTTAATGGCGAACGCGATGAAGAATTCTATAAAATCATATTATCGTGCGGATTTTCGAGTGCGTACAGTACATTGTTGAACGGAGAGCCAGAGTTTACTACATGGAAATTTAAACAACGTGGATCAACAGAAAAAGAAGAATGTCGCACGATTGATTACATATTTTATAATGCGGAGGGTTTCACACCTCTTGAATATCTATCACTCCCACAGAAGAGTGAAATTGGCACAAACGCTTTACCATCTAGAAATTATCCATCTGATCACTTGGCTCTTGCAGTAAAATTTTTGATATCTCCAAAAAAATAAATTTTATTGTGTATAGGTTTTTTGAGCATTTGTATAACTGCTATTTTATACGCAGTGCAATCTGCTACTTTTATTCGATGTGACTTGTTTTAGTGCGGTTTAATAAATAATAATAATAACAATGGATGTTACAGAAAGAATGGCGTAGTTTTTATTTTCAGTTTTTCTCCTCTCCCTTTGAACTCACAGAGTTCATCTTATTACCAAAAGATTGCCCATTCATTTCTTTACAAAATGGTGTATAGAAGATGATCTTAAGACTTGAGACGCTGTCTTAATTGAACAAACATCGAAATGTCCGAAAAACTTAAAAAAATTAACACAGAAAAGTGCGTTTCGTCAGTATGAAGCTGAACGTATGCGTTGTATCTAGAGCGATTAAGGCAAAATATAGCCCTTAAAATTCTCTACCGATTAGCTAAGGTGCCGCTAATGCAAAAATCAAGTGGAAAAGCTTTTGAATTTTCAAACACATATTCTGATTCGTCGGACGCTGCTGATCACGAATCTGATCTTATTTTTTCGATTTGACCGAGTTTCCATGCAGAAAATCTCAAAATACTGTGAGGGCGTCAAAAACCTCGAAAAACCGATTTTTCAGAAAAATCTCGATTATCTCCTGATCTTTTCATTTTTCGATCTCACCGGTGCGATTTTTGGATTCAGCATCGTGAAGCATATCTAGGCACTTGTCATTCGATGACTTTTCTTCAAGTCTTAAACTCTTGTAGCTGATCAAACACTGATCACTCGAACCTTGAGGTTCTCACCGCGCAATGCTATCTAGTTTTTTGCCATCAGAGCTGGAGACTTCTTTCATACGCCAGAAGATTCACCTTGCCTTGCTCCACAAAAGTATGTGTCGTTTTTTCCAAAACGTTTTTCCTTTTAGGAGAAATTAG